AATGAAAAATCATAAAGATGCAGGTTTCAACTGATAACCACGTTCCTTAAAGCTAGGTTCTATCAACACTTGAATTCTTAGAACAGGTAAAGAGAAGAGGAAGAGGAATGGGTATACTGTAACTATGCAACCATGTTAGTTGACAAATAATATACACACCTAAACTTCCAATTCCTAGGCTGTATTCTGTATCTAAGACTTGAAGCATACTTTTTGACAGTTATAATGGAATTCTTGAGCAGCTGAACCAGAGATATATTATTGCAATAAAGCTAATAGCACAGGTAGTTAGGAAATGATTTAAAAAAAAAAAAAAGGTGGGGGGACAAGGGGTGGGGGGGGGGGGGGGGAATTTTAGAAACCTATGTACCAAAAGAATGCATGTTGTATAACTCCATAATATAAACTTTTAGAATAGGCAAAACAAATCTATAGGGACAGAAGGCAGATAGGTGGTTTCCTGGGATTGAAGTTTGGGGAGGAGGCATTGACTGCAGAGGAGTACAAGAGAATATTTGGAGAGACAAAAATATTCCAATTCTGAATATAGAGATGATCACACAAGAGTATATATTTGCTAATTCTCATCAAACTATACATTTTTAAATGGGTACATTTTATTATATGCAAATTATTTCAGGAAAGTTGCTTAAAAAGAAAAATCACTAGTTTTGCAAGACATTATCATGGTTCAAATTGAGTAAAGGGTGCAAGAAATCTCTATAATTTCATACAACTGTACATGAATTTACAATTATCTCAAAATAAAAATTCACTTAAATTTTAAAATACATGTACAAGTAACAGTGATTATCCGTTATCCAAAAATTAATTATTTAAAGGATATATGTGTTTCTTATCAAATGATTCACAAAGAGTTAAATGCCATGTAATCCTGAATTCTGCTTTGAAACATTCAATTCTGCTTGAAAGTTACTGAATAGCATATAGTCTTTTGGGACTTGTTTTGCTCTAGATGAATCCTAAAGTGGAACCAGTAAATTATTCACGGTTTCAGTCATTTCTAGAGAAGAAATGTCACAAATACTCTAAAATTATTATCTATTAATGAAATGTGCAATTAGCATTTATGGTATGCACCAGACATTCATATGGTGTGTACATACTTACAACTGCCAACACAATACCAAAATATGTCAGAGTTCCTATGCAGTAGCACTGAGGAGAATCACTGAGCCTCTCCAAGGTAGATGTTTTAGGTATCACAAAATACAATGAGATATTTAAGAAAAAAGTAAGTGTGGCTTAAAATTTAACTCAGGATCAGTGGGGTCTTCAGGAATAGTTTTTCTTAAGGGTTTTTGTTTTGTTTGTTTTTAATTTTATGACTGCACAACAGAAATAAGATATACCAATGGAGTTATGAATTATTCCCAGAATAATTAATCATGTATTCTAGCTACGAGTGTAAGTCTTAATCCAGTAAGAGGGCCAGGTATTACCATAAGTGAGGTCACCCAGATATAAGACTACAGATAGTAGTGAATATGGTAGCAAACCGAAGAGTGATACTGCTCCAAAGAGGGTAATTGTTACCTTGAGTTAGGCTGTCATGGGGAAACATAGGCATAGTGTTGGATTGTTTTCTGATTAATAGAAGCCAGAGATGCAGGAGGAGGAGGGAGGAATGGGAGGTGCAGGCGAAGGGAAATTTTTTTTTAGAAACTGAATAACAAACCATTCAAACACTGTTCCCACCTGTGGACCACCGGTTTGTGACATCAACTTTATAAACTAAAGAATGCTTTATGTAGAAAATTCCTTGGAATGGCTATGTACCCGAACTTGCTTCTGAATTTACCATTCTACTCCTTTCTCCCAACTTCATTCATTTTCACTTCCGCTAAGAACACTTTCTTATAGGACTGCCAATTGCCAAGAACTGGCATATTCTCAAGGCTTACGTTTTCGTCCGTTTGCCAAATGGCTGTAATGCAATTCACAAAAGCCCTGTTTATTGAGTAATATTATTAATGGTTAGCATAATACTGTGAAATTGAAGACATTCTTTTTGGATTATGTCCAGATCTTTAAAAAGAACATTGGTTCCAATAGAAAATGGATGGCTTATATTCAAACTTACTATTTTAAAAAGTAGAACAATGGGAAAAGCATTTGAATAAGTATATTTTCAAATTATTATAAGATACCTTTTTCAGATATGTAAGTCCCAATGTATTAAAATACTTTGAATAATAACAGTCAGAGAATGTCATACTTATGAATGCTTTATAAAATCATTTCTCATTTTCAACACATTATTGAAAATATCATAGGACTGAGAAATCATTCAACAGTCTATTGCCTTTTTCCCTTCAACTACACTTGCCAAACTTTGCTAAGTGAATGATATTTGTTGCTTTTTTATAGCTAAATTCATAAATTATCAAAATAATTTTGGAAGAAATTAACAAAAAAAGTCAACTTTTTGCCTTTGTTTCTAAAAGACACTTAATATCTAAATAAGAAGCATTAAAATGTATTCTCAACCTAAATTATAGTTAATTATTTTGCTAGTTCATAATCCAACAGTCACCACCTGAGACCAAGTCTGAAAATCCCAACTTGACTTCTGAAACCAATCATGAGCCTTGATTCATTTAATGGCTCTATTTTTAAGGGGAAGCATGAAATCATCCAAGAATCATAAAATATCAATCACTCAACTGTGAGCAATTAGAGAGAGAGAAAGGGAAAAAAAATGGGGTGGGATATCAAAAGGAAAAGGGAGATGGGTGTAGGGTTTGATGGGATGAGAACTAACTAGTCAAAACAAAGCAAGAGAAGCTCAGGAAAAAATATATCACATGAAAGCATCACCCAGTCCTTAATTTGCATATACTGTATAGATTCAGAGCAAGGTGCCTTACTAAGTTCATCCCAGAGTGTGTTTTAACTGAGCTCTTGGTGAGTTTGGGGAGGAGGGGTGAGGTTAATAAAAAATATTACCGATTGCAAGGAAAGGGAAGTGTCTATTTTAAAGAATCAAAAGGAGAAGACACTAGGAAAAATAAAATAAAATGTCACTTTAACTTTAAAATCAGAACAAATCAAACTGGCAAAAACTTAAACACACAATTATGGCTGAATAAAGAGTGAATCAATCAAGTTCATCCAATTAATTTCCTTTCTGGGACAATATGATAAGCCACACAATCAAACATACTAAAATCAATGCTTTTTAAAAAGATTTTTTTTTCTCATGATACTTTAATCAGACCAAATTCAAAGCCTCTCGATGTTAGAAATCCAAAAAAATATAAAAGATTCCTTCCTTCAAAGCAATTATCAACCAGTGGTGAAGACTAAAAGTATAAATTAAAAGATCAGCAATATAAAGCAATGATCTGGAGAATAAGTTCAAAGGAACATCTGAATTAGAACATGAAAGTTTTGGCTTGAGCACATAGAAAGAAAGAAAGCTGTAACCAAATCAAAGAGTGAGTTGAAACTGAGGGCCAGGACTACATCCTAAATGTGCTAGAGGAAGTCTGCACTGTAGATAATATTCTTGCTACTGAACTATATGCACTAATGTTGTCACTGGAAACAAATTAGATCAGATTAAGAATCTCAGAAGACAGAAATGGAGTTCCTAAAATCTTGACAGATGGTTTTTTAAAAACAAGATGTTCCATGATATCTTAAAAAAAAGCGACAGAGAAAAGTGAAGTAACTAATTAAACACACATACAAGGGCAAGGCTTAGGAGACAAGTCAAGTAGGAATCTATGAGACAGTGCTACATTGTGAGGTTAATAAAAGAAATCACTGATTGCAAGGAAGGAGAAATATGCCTCTCAAAGAATCAAAAGAAGAAAACACCAGAAAAAAAATAATAAATGTCACTTTAAATTTAAAATCAAGAACCAATCAAGTTGGGAAAAAATTAAACACACAATTATGGCTGAATAAGAATGAATCAATCAAGTTCATCCAATTAATTAGTCCTTACACTGTAAAGAATTTTAAATATGTATATGACAAAATATGTCAATAATTTTCTTCATGGCTCTGATATGTTTCTCTGTTTCTATTTGTATTTGTTTTGCTTATAAAGTCCCTAGCTTTAGATTTGGAAATTTTATTTTAATCCTTACTTTAAAAGATTTACAATTATTTTTACATTTAAGTCTTTAAGTCACCTGGACTTCTATACATGCCATGAAGTAGGGCTTTAACTTCTTTTTTTTTCCAAATCGACATCAATTGCCTGAAATATCACTTACCAAAGACTCCATACTATTTATTTTTTATTACTGGTATGATTGTTACTGCTGCTGTACTTGCTTTCATATCAGCTGTTCCTGATGTTGATGCTGGATATTTCTATCAAAGAATACCTCTCAATTTCTTTTCCATTTACCCCTTTTTCTTAAAGATGTGGCTAAATCTCTACTTCAACTATGAAACCTCCCCTGACCATCATAGACAAACAAAAGTAACATAATCTCTCAGTCATTTTACTATAGATTTTCAAATTAATTAAAATTACTGATATCAGCAATGAATTCAACTTAATTGCCACAAATTCATAAAGATCTCTCTGCATCAAAAGACTTATGCTGCATAGACCCCTTTGTATAAATACTCTTTAGATGCAGGATTCAGACCCTTATTTTTAGTGCCATTCTATCCAGACACCTTAAAAATTGTTTAATAAAACATGAAAATGCTGACGAAACAAAGACAAAAAAGTAAAATAAAACCCCAAGGTTCAATCTTAGGTGTTACTTTTCTGATAGAGTTTATTTTTAAAAATGACATTTTCATCTTTTTGATGGCTTTTCTTTTTTCTACCAAAAATTTCCTGAAATAGTTGACATTTCAGGCTCATATCTATTTATTTTTATTCATACCCAGAAGGTAGACCAAAATTAAGTTAAAAAAATTTATATTCACCATTTCACCACCTCCCTCTCTCCTCCCCCACTTTTTTTTTTTTTTTTAGATTTTCATGCCTCTAACAGAGAACTCACATGAAGTCCTTGGGTGAAGCTTTCTAGAGAGCAGAGGCATCGATAGGGCTGGCTTGTTGTGTCACACTTATCAGCATGACCATAGCACTGACATCTGTGAACAGGAACATCAGACAACTCCTAAGTCAACTCAACTATGAATATATTTAAGGGCCTGTGAATATATCCACTGGGGTGGATCCAAAAAGGAAGTCAAGTATGCTAATCAACACAAAATTCAGTTTCTCATTTATCATATAGATGTTCATGAAAGTTTTTAATTAATCCTAAAGTATTGGAGAAAGTGTCATCAATATCCAAATCACATGTTCTGAGAAGGTAATTATCAAGCCTCCCTGGGAAAGGAGTCGAGGGTTGTTTCCACTTATATCAACTATGTGGCAAACTTGCCAGGAAAGGCATTTACTGAAACTGTTAGAGACACAATTAAAACTATAAAGTTTAAAATAAACTGCAGAATGAAATTAACATATTTCAATTATTTGGGGGTTTTCTCCCCAAAATTAGATGGTGAATATTTAATAGTATTATTATTTACATTACGCTATTACTAAACAAACAATACTTATTTGGTATTCTGGTCTGTTTTTAAAGATGTACTTTATTTACAGAGCATATCACTCTTCTAGCACAACTTGATTCTAAATATAATCTATATGTACCATTTCCATAACAGAGAATATCCCCAGCTAACCATGTTTTGATATAGTGTGAGCCATGTTCTCAGTTATAGTCAGATGTTTATAAATTATTTAGGGAATATTAGATCTTTCTTCCTAGGAAGACAAATATCCCCCATAAAATTGTGAATTATGAACTCGGGGAGACGAGCCCCGTATTTACAAACTAGCTGGTAGTATAGTTGTAACTTGAAATCTAGCTCCTGCTCTCTGATTTCAAGAATACTTGAAAATTATATTCCAGAACAAACCTAGCAAAACATTTGGTAAATTATTTCCAAGCCCAATTCAGGGTATCATACCTTCTAAACCCAATTTTAGCATTTGAAAATTGATTCTATAACAATGTGGTCTTACATACAGAAAAGAATTACATACAAATCTTTCCAAAAAATCTTAGAGTAAGAAACCATTTCAAAATGTGAAACTTGGAATCTGGCTTCCTCTAAATCTTAAGTATTTTTAAGTAAGTATGGCAAAAATCTTGTTGAAAACAAAACTCATAGTGAAAAGGACACTGCAATCAAAGCTTGGTAATGAACATTACCTCCCAGTGATGGTGATTTCATCGACTGCATAGTATCTGTGCCTGAGGCTGACAGGAGTCTCAGTTGTATAGTACTGTCCCTGAAAATGAAGTCTTATTTGTGTGGCTTTTACAAACTCTTGAAGAGATGGGGTGTTATAAAAGTCATTGTAGCCAGGCCGATGATTTGGTCCAGGTGTTAGGATGCTAAATGTGACGTTACCATGGGAATATGGAGTAAAACTGTTGATGAAAGAAATCTGAAGTCATGAAAAGTTATTCATATTTTTAACAAAGCAGAATCACAACTTTGAGACATTACTACCCAATATTAGTAACAGCTTAAATTCTTCATTCTGGGAAAACAAACATATCTCAGATATTTCATGTGCAAACAATATAATTGCATCATAGAAAAGTCTAGTAAAACATTTCCTTGAGGGCATAATAAAATTATATTAATATAGATAACTTGCTAAAACAATCTGAAAAACAGATATAAAGCCCAAATGAGACCACAAACAAGAGATACTCTCAAATCTTTTATGAGAACTTTAAATGCAGTTTAAAACTCAAGTTGCGGTGGAGTCCTAGAACAATCTGCCTCAAGAAGGTTGGTGGTGGAGGGAAGTCTCTACCAACCTAATGAGTTAGTCTACCTATTGCTTATTATTAATCCATTAGTCTATTAAAATGAACTCCTTCAAATATAATTATTTGTTAAATATTCATACGTGGAAAGCTGAAGACAGTTGACAGAATCAGGATTTTCCAATTTTCCATTATTTTCCATTCCAAAAGCTCTGCAATTTCTAGCAAAAAATTGCCAGTCCTCCCAATCTAGGCTGTCCTCCTTCTTCCTTTGAATCCTTATTGCTGTTGGTTGTGGACTAAGGAATTGAATGATAATATAAAACACCTGAAAATGGATAAGTTAATCATTGTCTTTAAAGTATGACCCAAAAAAAATAAAAAATAAAAATAAAGTTTGACCCATCAGTGTAAATCAAACCAGGGACTTGTTAGTTTCAAATATAATAGCTTACTTCCTCATAAGGATAATTATCAAATATTAATCAGACATCCAGAGACTCCATAGCCCTATAGTAAAAGTAACACATTCTACAATTGCATATCCATCCCTTCTCAAGGATTTTATAAATTAAGTTCAAATTAATATTAAGTTTGATATAAAGACAGGGAAAAAGAACCTTACTTCCATGACATAATTGTTATATACATTCTTCTTAAGTAGTTACTTAGAATGAGCACCTCAGTTTTTATTAATTTGTACTACTTAATAATAAAAAGAACTAATTTTTGATATCTCATACGATTTCATACAAATATCTGAAAAAATAGGTCCTTCATATTTTCTTTTAGATATTTTATTTCTTACATTATTATACACAACTTTAGTGAAGTAATGTTCAATCACCTAATTCACCTTGTAATAGATTGAATTTCATCCCCAAATATGTACGTTCAAGTACTAACTCCTGGCACCTGTGAATGTGACCTTTGGAAATAGGGTATTTGCAGATGTAATTGAGTCAAGGATCTGAATATGAAATCATCATAGATGAAGGCTGGGCCTTACAACAGAACAAGGAAAAAGAACTGACACAGAGAAAGAAGGAGGAAGGTCCCTGCAAATAGAAGCAGAGATGGGAGTTATGTAGCCATAAACCAAAGAACACCAGGAGCCACCAGAACCTGGAAGAAGCAAGGAAGGATTCTGCACTAGAGCCTCTGGAGGGAGAATAGCCTTGCCAATACTTTCATTTTGTACTTCTGATCTTCAGAACTGTGAGCGAATAAATTTCTGTTGTTTTAAGCCACTAAATAAGTGGTGATTGGTTGTGGCAGTTACAGGAAACTAATACACCCCATTATTTCAAATTACCTGATACTGTCCATTTTCCAAATCTATCGAAATAGTCACTCCTTGATGAAGCTGGGTAATATTGGTAAACACTTGTGAAACCCAGGAAGTACCAATATCATTATCATTGACAAAAGAAAGAGGATGGGCTTCAGGATTCAGCCGTAACACCCTATCAGTGGTGGTATCTTCTGCGTCATTAGGAATGCAGTACCGCTGTCCCAAAGGATGGACCCTAGGGTGGCTGCCAGGGCAGCGGCAATGTGACTGGATATGCAATCTGAACAGATCTCCAGAAAAAATTTCCAGAATCTCCCTGTGGGTGTAAGAAGCAGACTGTAAGGACAAATAGCTCAGCAGTAATAGAACTTCCAAGGGTTGTTACAAATGAATATCACTATTTTAATGCTTTGATGACTATCCATTTAATTTTAATTATTTTCTAAACAGGACATAAAATCAAACTCATTCCTGGCCAAACAAACATACTCATAAAATGGATATTGGAAACAGTAAATTCTTAAGCGTTAATTTTTACATTGAGAAGCATGGGCGAGCCCTTGTCTGATTACTGAGACATTTGTTTAAATATCATAATGTTTTATTGTACCTATTTGTGATGAAAAAGAAAGGTAACATTTATTTAGGCTGTTAAACTGACTTACCCCGAAAGTGAACAATAATATACTGAAAATACTAAGGGTTATAGATAGTGTCTCCAATTCATCCATGGGAAAGAAATAAAAAACAAGTACCATTTTATCTGCTGTTGTTTTAAGTAAAGGGACTGAGGCCAAGACCATTTGTCAGTAGTTTCCTGGGACTCATCAGTACAGATTTGGGCACCCTAAAGTGCTTCAGCAGCTTCGGATCACCTGGCAGCTGCCAAGAGCCAAAGAATAATGCCAATTCCAGGCAGACATATTTAATTTTTCCATTAAGGGCAATATATCTGTTCTAGGTCAGAATTAGTCATTCTATTTATAGGCATTCTTTGCCATAATACTTTTCCAGACATCTCAGGTAGGCCAACACCAGTAAACCGGGTCTAACTAGAGAGACCAGGCTTCTTCTCTCGGATTCCAGTGGGGCAGACGGAGTCCCGCGGTTTTTCCCATTCACTAAATCACATGAAATCATGCCTTCTTCTTTAAATCTTTTTGATATTTTCCAACTGATACTGATGAGGAAAATCTGTGTCCTAGGATGGCCGCCCGAGCCAGCAAGAGAGTCCCAGTCCTTGCCTCCGGACTCTTCCAGGTTCTTCTCCCTGCCCCGCTTCCCGCGCGCACCAATCCTGGTCCTTCTCCCTGCCCCGCTTCGCACACGTGCTTAGTGTCAAGTGTGTGGAAGTAGAAGTGTATAAATTGCCACCTTTGTTTGTGCTCAGGGCTCAGATCTTTGGAGACCACTCTCCTCTGAGCCAGCCAGTGTTAAATAAACCTCCTATCCTCCAAGATCTCCAGGCACCGCTTGGTTCTTCCGTGGGGCGATCCAGTCCAGGTTCCCTAGCAATACCAGGTTTTGAATGGGACCAAAAGTGATATCTTGGCCCCCAGGAAAAACCTCATTAGCCCCCCCCAAATTATTGCAACAGAATTTTAGACAGAGGTGATTTAAAGGACAGTGAGACTGCTGGCAGGAAATCTCCCTAATAATAGGTTTAGTAAATTAGTAATTACTAAATTATTTACATTACTTGAATTAAATAGTAAATTTAGTAATTACTAATCAGTAATTAGTAAAGAAAGTTTATAATTCTAATGGACATACCGCTGACCATAGCAGCACCTCAGGAGCAATGCTCCTCAAATTGACAAGAGCTACTCCTGTCATTTGGAAATTCACCACACTAATCTGCATCTTCCTTTAAGAAATATGAATAAACATCATTCTTTCTGATCCTTAATAGAAGTAAACCACATCAACAAATCCATACAACAATATACTCTTACACAATCAAATCATTACTTGGGAAAGAAACTTCAGAGGACATCTAAGCAGAATTTCGCTTGAACTTTTCTGAAGAGAATGAAAATCTATGTGTCTTTAAGAAGCCCTAGGAAAGATTTCCCACCTATTCTCAAGATGAGGAAATACTTGATTAACACTAGTCCAAGCCTATATAACTTTTGTTCACTGGAAATAGAAAAATATATAACAAAAATACTCATTCTTCTTGTCTCCAAGTCTAATAGCTCAGTCTCTTGAGACTTTCCCGTATATCAAAATAATCCTTTTCATTGTTCTAAATTCTCAGTACTTATAAATTCAACAAGGCAATTTTAAAAGGCAGATAGAGCAGTTTCTTACATATCAGAAACTGCTTCATATAGAACAGTTAAAAAATGTACCCCAAGTTCTATAATACAACTTGTTCAAAAATCTAGTTTCCTTAGAGAAAATCCTGTGTAAAGAATTTCACCAATTTCATATTATAAGGAATTACCCAACAGAGTAGCACTAGTGAATAACAACAATAGACTAAGCCAAAGCAAACACTGTAAACATTAATTGGGTGATATTTGTCAAATGCTGTAAAGATGAAAATACTATAATCTTTTGTAAGTCTTACTTAAGCTAATTCAGGAATTATTCTTACACCTGTGGAGCTCTACAACATCACATTCACTTACCTGTTTGTAAGTGCCACTTGGTATAATCGAAAATCTTGCATTCTTCCAACAAACTGCTCTAATCCTGCAGAGGACATATAATACACATAATATAAAAAGTTGCAGTTTTCCAAGCAGAGGCTGACAAACACTCAAGTGAAATTCCTTTAAAGCTATAAAATTTTCAATCATATTTATATCATAGCCCTTTCAAACTCCTACAGACCAACATGTTTTGCCTGTTCCACATAATAATTAATAGTCATAGTTATCTCCACAGACACTGCAGAATTTAAGTCAAAGTGAATATTTGCCCAGCCTATTTACTGGCCTAACTTGTAGGTCAAATAAAAAATTTTTTTAGTATTTCTTTTAATTGGGATATAGCTGATATAGAATGTTACATTACTTTCAAGGGTACAACATCATAATTCGACAACTCTATATGTTATACAATGCTCACCGCAAGTGTAGCTCCCATCTGTCACCATAAAACGCATTACAATACCATTGATTCTATTCCCTATGCTGACTTATTCATTCCATAACTCTCCAAATCAAATTTCTCTCTAGTTTATAAACTTATAAATCTATCATGTTATCAGCGCTAAATTTGATTGTCATCTACTTCCAACTACAATTTCCAGAGCATTTGCATTGCCAAGAGAAAGACTCCCCCCCCGTTCTGTCATCCCCCCTGTTCTGTCTCCAAGCTCCAGAGTATCACTTTGGGTCATCTCCAAACTTAGATTAATGCCTGGTCTAGAAAATCTCCAGTAAATGAGGATAAATTGAAAACCTCCTACTCATAAATTCTGAGTTATTCACATATATCAATGGCATTCTACCTCAGTCTCAAATTCCATTATCTCCTGAGAATTCTTCAAAGACAAGCCAGATTCAAAGCCCACTCCTCACTGAATTAGGTGAACTTTCAAGGTGTGGTAGATATCCACCTTAAACCACTTAATATTATTTTATTGATTCATTTAGCAAATATTTATTTAGGATTTAATAACAGATAAGCCCAAGAGAGTGGGAACAGAAAAACCTAAGGAAACTACCACCTCTAAGGGTTTTTTTTTTCTTATGCTATAATAATGAGAAAAACTTGATTAAAATGGCAAAATTCTAGCTAGAGTTTGGATCATGGGAACACAAAAGGGAATGTGATTGTACCTTACTGTACCAATTCAATAATTAAGTGGGTTTTTTCTTTCTTTTTTTTATTATGTTATGTTAATCACCATACATTACATGATTAGTTTTTGATGTAGTGTTCCATGATTCATTCTTTGCATATAACCCCCAGTGCTCCATGCAGAACATGCCCTCTTTAATACCCATCACCAGGTTAACACATCCTCCCACCGTCCTCCCCTCTAGAACCCTCAGTTTGTTTTTCAGAGTCCATAGTCTCTCATGGTTCATCTCCCCCTCCAATTTCCCCCCTTCATTCTTCCCCTCCTGCTTTCTTTTTTTTTAACATATAATGTATTATTTGTTTCAGAGGTACAGATCTGTGATTCAACAGTCTTGCACAATTCACAGTGCTCACCATAGCACATACCCTCCCCAATGTCTATCACCCAGCCACCCCATCCCTCCCACCCCCCACCACTCCAGCAA